AAATTAGCTGCACTACAATACCTTAAAGCTGCACTGCAATAACTGCCCTAATTGCACTACAATAACTAAACTAGATGAACTACAATAACTGAAATGGCTGCTTTACAATAACTGAAATAGCTGCTTTACAATAATATAACTAGCTGACCTATAAAAACCGAACTAGCTGGACAACAATAACTGAACTAGCTGCACTACAATAATATAATTGCTGCATTACAATAACTGAACTAGCTACTTTAAAATAACTGAACTATATGCAATTCAATAACTGAACTAACTGCCCTACAATAACTGAACTAGGTGCACTATAATATCTGAACTAGCTGTACAACAATAACTGAACTATCTGAACAACATTAACTGAACTAGCCGGAAAGCAATAAGTGAAAAAGCTCCATTACAATAACTGAACTAGCTGCTTTAGAATAACTATACTAGATGCACTACAATAACTGAACTATCTGCACTACAATAATTGAACTACCTGCTCTACAATAATTTAAACAGCTGCTTTACAATAACTAAACTAGCTTCCCTAAAATAACTATAATAGCTGCACTACAATAATACTAGCTGCACTACAATAACTGAACTAGATGCACTACAATAACTGAACTGGCTGCTCTGCAAAACTGAACTATCTGCACTACAATAACACTTGATTAACAAAAATACATGAACTAGTTGCACTAAATAACAGAATTTCTGCACAACAACTGAACTGCTGCACTTCAGTAACTGAACTAACTTCACTACAATAATTTAACTAAGTGCAGTTCGTTAATTAAACTTGCTGCACAGCAATAACTGAACTATATGAAATACAATAACAGAGCTAGCTGCTTAACAATAACTGAACTAGCTGCTTTACAATAACTGAACTAGCTGCTTTGTAATAACTGAACAAACTTCACTACAATACATGAACAGACTGCAAAACAATTACTGAACTGTCTTCAAAACAATAACTGAACTAGCTGCACTACAGTAATTGAACTACCCGCACTTCAGCATCAGAATTGCTGCACTGCAATAACTGAACTAATTGCTCTACAATAACTGAACTAGGTGCACTACAATAACTGAATTAGCTATACAACAATAACTGAACAATCTGAACTACAATAACAGAACTAGTCGGACAACAAAAACAGAACAAGCCGGACAACAATAACTGAAATAGCTGATTTACAATAATTGAACTAGCTGTACTACAATAACGGAACTAGCTGCACTGCAATAACTAAATTGTTGCACTACAATAACTGAATTGCAACACTGAAATAAATGAATTAGCTTCACTTCAGTAATGAACTAGATGCACAACAATAACTGAAGAAGCTGCTCTACAATAACTGAAATAGCAGCTTTACAATAACATAACTAGCTGCCCTATAATAACATAACTAGCTGCACTACAATAACTAAACTAGCTGCACCACAATAACTGAATTGCTGCTCTACAATAAATGAACTAGTTTCACTACAATAGCTGAACAAGCTGGACTACAACAACTGAACTAGCTGCACTACAATAAATAAATTAGCTGCACTACAATTCCTTAAAGCTGCACAACAATAACTGCACTAACTGCACTACAGTAACTGAACTATGTGCACTAGAATAACTGAACTAGTTGCACATCTATAACTGAACCACCTTAACTATAATTACTGAATTACCTGAACTACAATAACTGAACTTGCTGCTCTACAATAACTGAACTAGCTACACAACAATAACTGAACTATCTGAGCAACAATACCTGAACTAGCTGTACTACAATAACTGATTTAGGCGCACAACAATAACTGAACTGACTGTATTAAAATAACTGAACTAGGTGCCTACAATATCTGAACTAGCTGCATAACAATAACTGAAGGATATGAATTACAATAACATAACTAACCAGAAAAAATAACTGAAACAGCTTCTTTACAATAACTGAACTAGCTGTACTACAATAACTGAACTACAAAGTATTAATTGCTGCACTACAATAGATGAATTGCTGTGCAAAAATAACTGAACTAGCTGATCTACAATAATTGAACTGCTCCATTTCAACCACTGAACTAGCTGCACTACATTAATTGAACTAGAAGCACTACAATACTTGAACTAACTCCACTACAATAACTGAACTAGCTGCACTACACTAGTTGAAATTCTACACTGCAATAACTGAACTAGCTGCACTTCTATAACTGAACTAGCTGCACTACAATAACTGAAATAGCTGCTCAACATAAACTGAATATCTGCACTACCATAACTGAACTAGCTGCACTACAATAACACAAGCTGTGGGAACCGACCTGTGAGATTTATATTTATTTAATTTATATGAATTTTTATAGAATTTATATTTACGTTAATTTGTATACTTCGATAGCAATTTGTATGATGTTAAGTGGACTGTATTTCTGCAATAATCTCACAAATCGATCCTCTCCACATTAGGGGGGGGTTTATATTGAATTTATATATGCAGCCAATCAAACTACAGTATTAGACTACATACATTGAAGAGGTTCCTTATCTTATTTGTACAGCAGGCCATAGTCCACCAGGTATAACTAGGGTGTAGACACCAAATTTTCCTCGTGTGAGGTGGCTTCCATCACCCTGGTAACTGATGCACAAAGCATGCTTCCTCGTCTTGACCTGTCAAAAGGGCGCTAGCTGTAAAGCCAGAATCCTAATATATGACAGCAATATCAGAGAAAACACTGTACAAGGAACCATAAAGACCTAGGCTTAATTACCTTGTTTGAGTCGATCATTCGTGTTCTAACCGGTGCGCCCTATCTACTGACATTAATGGCCAAAAATGATTAGATAAACGGGTTTCGGAAAGACACTTCCCTTGAGATTGATGACAGCATGTTGATGATGGCAGATCACTACTCTGATCTTCCATAACACTTCGTCCAAGAGAATTTATAGGAGCCGTAATTCGCTCCACGACACTGTGGTCTTAAACAATAACAATGGCTGACCACTCCCTCCTCACTGACGCCTACATTGCACTCACTACACTCACTCACTGGCCTACATTGTCCAGATGAGAGTAAGTGATAGAAGGGTCACATTTACTCTTTATTTTAATTCTGATAATTAAGTTAATTTATATGAGATGTTTTTATGATGGTAAAGTCCAAAGTCTAATGTATTTAAGAATAATTCCCACCATAATAGGTGGTGAATTTATAATAGTATGTGGTATTGATATCCCGTTTTCTATAGACGGAAATTCCACTACAAGTTACATTTTCTATGGGTTAACTTGTTTATACAACACAGCAATATTATCTGCCTGTATGGTATTATTAAATGGTGTCGGATTTTCCGACACAAGCTGCACTACACAAAGTTATCTAGTTGCACTACAATAGAATAATTACTGCACTGCAATAACTGAACTAGCTGCACTACAATATCCGAACTATCTGCGCTAAAATAAATGAACTAGCTATACTACAATAACTAAATTAGCTTCACAACGATGACTTAATGATGCTCTGCAATAACTGAATTGATGCACTTTGTAACTGAAATAGCTGCACTGCAATATCTGAACTAGCTGCACTTCATTAACTGAACTAACTGCACTACCATAATTTAACTAGCTGCACTACAATTACTGAATTAGCTGCACAACAATAACCATAATATCTGCACTACAATTACTAAACTACCCACACAACAATAATTGAACAAGCTGCTTTGCAATACCGGAACTAGTTTCACTACAATAACTGAACAAGCTGCAAAACAAAAAGTGAAGCCGAGCTTCACGCTCCTCTCGCTGCAGCCGAGCTTCACGCTCCTCTCGCTGCAGCCGAACTTCACGTTCCTCTCGCTGCAGCCGAACTTCACGCTCCTCTTGCTGCAGCCGAACTTCACGTTCCTCTCGCTGCAGCCGAACTTCACGTTCCTCTCGCTGCAGCCGAACTTCACGTTCCTCTCGCTGCAGCCGAACTTCACGTTCCTCTCGCTGCAGCCGAACTTCACGTTCCTCTCGCTGCAGCCGAACTTCACGTTCCTCTCGCTGCAGCCGAACTTCACGCTCCTCTCGCTGCAGCCGAACTTCACGTTCCTCTCGCTGCAGCCGAACTTCACGCTCCTCTCGCTGCAGCCGAACTTCACGCTCCTCTCGCTGCAGCTGAGCTTCACGTTCCTCTCGCTGCATTTGCGCTTCTCTCTCCTCTCGTCGCAGCTGGGCTTCCAGTTGCATCTTTATTACTTCCAGTTGCAGGCTCATCTTACTACAGCTGGACCCTCCACTGCTCCCATGTTCACTGTGATTTCTCCCCACACTGGTAGACGCTTGAGGTGGCTCTAGTCGGGACGGTTCACCTTGGGACGGTTCTTCCCCTGTCGCCTCTTCTAGAGTTGTGAGGTGCGCAATTATTTCTCGCTTACGCTCCGCTACCTTAGTCGTCCTCAATCGGATCCCCAAGTGGCCTGCTACTTGTTGCCTTGGTACACTCTTCCAAAATTCTCTCATCCCTCGTCGCAATAAATTCATCCACTTTATCCTCCTCCATCTCAATAATTGAGCTATAGCACTACTATCTCACTGGTTTCACTATTCCAGTCTCTGCACTACTGGGCAACACTGTCACTGTTCACTGAGTTTACTGGCAATCCTTGTCACGACACTGGTAACACTGTAATTGTACTCTGGCAACACTGTCTTCGACTCTCGGCAACACTGTCCGCGAATTCTGGCAACACCGTCTTGAAATCTGGGCAAATCTGTAGAAATCTGTAGCCTGATGAACGCATCTTGGCAAGGTCGCCAATTCTGTCACGCGTCGCTCACCTTGGCCTTGTGTTACATGAGGTTACAGTTAAACAGCGGGGGATCATGCTTCTGATCCTGTAACCTCACGCCGTGGGTCTTCGCTCCCTCCATTAGAGTATCACATATCACCCCAGGGAGCTCTCCTAGCCATGCCTCAAGACCTGCCACCACTATTTGACCATGGACACAGGGGATAGAGTAGAAGGCCCAGCCCACACTGCTAAGCTCAATCCTGCAGTATGTGACTCCCCCACCGGGTCTGCCCACCTATGCGTGCAGAGAATTTGCCGGACTTCGGGCCGTAGCCTCAATTCCTCCTCTCACCTCACGGTCTCCCCAATTAACTGTTAAGAGGGGAGTGAAATATATAGGCCAAATATATATTAATGTTCAGGGGGAGTGAAAGGCTAGCAACAATTATCCAGCACTAGTTCAGTTATTGTAGTGCAAACAGTGCAGTTATTGTTTTGCAGCTTGTTCAGTTATTGTTTTGCAGCTTGTTCAGTTATTGTAGTGAAACTAGTTCCGTTATTGTAAAGCAGCTAGTTCAATTATTGTTGTGTGGGTAGTTCAGTTATTGTAATGCAGATATTATGGTTATTGTTGTGCAGCTAGTTCACTTATTGTAGTGCAGCTAGTTAAATTATGGTAGTGCAGTTAGTTCAGTTAATGAAGTGCAGCTAGTTCAGATATAGCAGTCCAGCTATTTCAGTTACAAAGTGCAGCAATTCAGTTATTGCAGAGCATCATTAAGTTATTTTTGTGAAGCTCATTTAGTTATTGTAGTGTAGCTAGTTCATTTATTGTAGTGCAGATAGTTCGGATATTGTAGTGCAGCTAGTTCAGTTATTGTAGTGCAGTAATTATTCTATTGTAGTGCAACTAGATAACTTATTGTAGTGCAGCTAGTTCAGTTATGGTAGTGCAGATATTCAGTTAATGTTGAGCAGCTATTTCAGTTATTGTAGTGCAGCTAGTTCAGTTATTGAAGTGCAACTAGTTCAGTTATTGCAGTGTAGAAATTCAACTAGTGTAGTGCAGCTAGTTCAGTTATTGTAGTGAAGTTAGTTCAAGTATTGTAGTGCTCTAGTTAAATTAATGTAGTGCTCTAGTTCAATTAATGTAGTGCTTCTAGTTTAATTAATGTAGTGCAGCTAGTTCAGTTGTTGAAATCTAGCAGTTCAGTTATTGCAGTTCAGGTAGTTCAACTATTGTTGTGATATATATATATATATATATATATATCAGCTAGTTCAACTATTGTTGTGATATATATATATATATATATATATATATTGTTCATTGGTAGAAAATGATTAAATACATGCTAATTAAAGTATGATATATTTCTTCCATGTAGTTGAGTGAGGAAGAAGGTGGATGTCAGATGGTGATGTGTAAGTAAGATGCAATATACTCTCAACGTTACCATGATGAGTGCAGTGATATTTGTGGTGCTGTTATTGGTTGTCACTTCCCTCCTGGCAGCCTCGGACCTCCAGCCCTCCCACGGTATTTACCTGTTATAATCTTCCTGAATTGTCACATTTAGAAGATTTTTGTTTTCACTGAAGACTTTCTGTAGTAACATTACGTTTTAATAAAAGGTTATTATGAGGTAGAGAAAGAAAAGTTTAAAATTGTTTTACATATAAATTAAAGGTAATAAAAATACATACAAATTAAAATGAATGAAAACCTTGCCTCAGTCACAATTTTTTTTTACAGCGAGTCATGACACAGTAACACTACTGAGTGGTGGTGTGGAAGCTGTGTTGGCAACACTGTCTCAGCCCCGCTGTTCCGTCATGTTCTTCACGGACGGCGCCTCAACCCTCAGTACTGTGACTAAGGTGAGTCTCAGCCTCACTGTTCTGTCATGTTCTTCACGGACGGCGCCTCAACCCTCAGTACTGTGACTAAGGTGAGTCTCAGCCTCACTGTTCTGTCATGTTCTTCACGGACGGCGCCTCAACCCTCAGTACTGTGACTAAGGTGAGTCTCAGCCTCACTGTTCCGTCATGTTCTTCACGGACGGCGCCTCAACCCTCAGCACTGTGACTAAGGTGAGTCTCAGCTTCACTGTTCCGTCATGTTCTTCACGGACGGCGCCTCAACCCTCAGCACTGTGACTAAGGTGAGTCTCAGCCTCACTGTTCCGTCAAGTTCTTCACGGACGGCGCCTCAACCCTCAGTACTGTGACTAAGGTGAGTCTCAGCCTCACTGTTCCGTCATGTTCTTCACGGACGGCGCCTCAACCCGCAGCACTGTGGCTAAGGTGAGTCTCTGGATCAGTAATTTATGTATAATAACATATGTTGACAATTTTATATTATGAGTTTTAATTTTTTCACTTAATATGAATATTGTCATATTGCCAAGAGATTGAACAATATCATTTCATAAATGCTTAATAATAAAAAAAGGTAAATAGTAAACCTGAAAACCAGACAAAGCAGCTTGATTAAATAAAAGAAATAGCTTGGTTGTGTTGCACCGTTTACCTGGTGGTATTAAAGTACCAGTGTGGTAGTGATTGGCGGATATCTTGCTTGTGTGATACTCTCTTACCAGATGGCCACTAATCCTTAAAACAAATTAGTGATTCATTTTCGAATATGTCATTTAATTATATCTCCAACTCCACCTTCCGGACCATCTCACCTGTCTGGACATAACTTGACAGTTTACTTCCAGATTTAAGAGACTGTCTTCGGTTCTCAGTGAGAGTGACTCCGGCAATATTCATCAAAGCTCTTCTGAGTCTGGGAACCGCTATGGGTCCTTCAAACAAAGATATAGGTTCCTTAACCCAAATATGGCTTCGTGAATCCCGCCGTAATTATGCTCACTGAGGACAAATTCAGGCTCCTGAATCTGAACAAAAACTGCAACGTTATGTCCAGACAAAATGAGAAAGCCTGGAAGGTGGAGTTGGAAATCCTACTGGATGACATATTCGACCATGATACACGGAGAGGTCACAACTAAGTGCACACTACATGAAGAGATTCTAGCAGAGGCAGGAAAGACTTGAGGCCACCACAGAAACACTGTATTGTCTCCTGAGCTCGAAACAGCAGCGTATAACTATTGTAAGAATAAGTAAGTCTTTGTTAACAGAGGTGATATGTTGCCAACATGTCATTATCAGAAGGAAGGAATATGTACATAGGTGGCAGACGACGTACATATGTGGAAGACGGTGTACATAAGGGGGTAGACGACACACACATATGTGGAAGACGGTGTACATTAGGGGGTAGACGACACACACATATGTGGAAGACGGTGTACATAAGGGGGTAGACGACACACATATGTGGAAGACGGTGTACATACGTGGCAGACGACGTACATATGTGGAAGATGGTGTACATAGGTGGCAGACGACGTACATATGTGGAAGACGGTGTACATAGGGGTAGACGACACACATATGTGGAAGACGGTGTACATAAGGGGGTAGACTACGCACATATGAGGAAGATTGTGTACATATGTGGCAGACGACGTACATATGATGAGGATTGTGTACATATGTGGCAGACGACGTACATATGAGGAGGATTGTGTACATATGTGGTAGATGACGTAGATATTTGGAAAACGGTGCACACAGGTGGTTCAGTAGTTTCGTGAGTGACTGGACTTTATACCTTGTTAATGTCAGCGTTTGAAAAAGTTCATATGACGTCAGCAACTGTGAAAACCGAAAACTTGCCCAAAACGCAATGCGTACTAGTGGCTTTAGGTATTGTATGTACTACCTCTATATTATAGACTGTGGGTTGGTGGTGTTGTCGTCGTTGATCCTTCTCTACGGACAACCCAACCCACAACTCGGTAGAGTGCTTATACTTCACTAGGAGATCACCCTTGGCGCTTCTGGCTCTTGGAGAGGGGCTCAACGTCACACATTTAGGGGATGCGGCTCCAACACCTAGCCTCGTTGTCACGTGCACACACCCACTCGAGCCGCTGTGACTCCCCACTCTCTCCTTAGGTAATATGATCTCCTCGATCCCCTTTTTGGCTTATTAGTATTACCTTCTACCCTGTCCAAAGCAGTGGTTCTTGGTTCTTTCTCTCTCTCTCTCTCCTTCTTTACTACCTCCTGGGAAGCCTCACTAGGACAAGGGCAAACACCAGCAAATTGGGATACATTTACTGGACAAAGCACATACACGATACATACACACATATAATAATAATGAATCCTATGCTCTATACTATTACAATCGGGTTGCTCTCCAACACAACCAGGACTCTACCATCAGCTTATCAAGTGGTATCCTATCTCCTGGTTCACCACCTGATACTATTAACCTCCTCAAGTTGATCAAGTCTACATACGCTGTTGCACCATCAGCAAGAGAATATATATATGTATCTATAAATGTATACCAAGAAAATCAGCATTTGAATGCAATAACATATCAGTATAAATGTTCATTGGTGCACAACAATGATCAATCGATCACTGTCAGTCCTGGAACGCATACATCTGTAGGTAATCCAGCCTACGACTGTAACTCTAAACTTCAGTGTAAAACACTCCTTGACATAAGAATGCAAACAGTCACTCACCTCTCACTGCGTCTTGCACGCTAATGACAACCAAACACTATCAACTCCCTACTAGTAATCCACCAGAACTTCCCCTTCCACCTCTGGAAGTTCACTACCCTGATATCTTCAAGTTCTTCCGGGCTTCACTACCAGGATCCTCTGCAGCTTCTCCAGGCTGCTATCATGAAGTTTCCTTGAGTAACTACGGTGCTTCACCCTTCTGCTAGGTTCCTCCACAGCTCTCTTGGCTGCTACACCATGAAGTTTCCTCGAGCAACTATGGTGCTTCTCCACCTCTACAGAAGCACGTGACACTCCTCTTCACTGCTTCTTCTCCTCACAGCTCGAGGTCCTCTGCTCCACTATCTTGGAGTCTCATCAGCTGGCTTCGAAGTTCTCAGCAACTTCTTCCCCAAAGAACAAACCACAGATTAACTGATCGAGGGCGCTTTCCCTCTGACGGCGTCTGGTCAGGGCGCTCCACACAGCCCACGAAAATGCCTCCGGGCGGCTTAATATTCACTAATTATCGCCCACGACTTGAGACCACACGTCCCCAGCTCGATTCCACAGCTGGAACGTCTGCACACTTCTCTTATCTTAGAGATATATCACTAGGGGTTCCCTTCTGACGGGAGCTCAAACGAAGCGCGGCTTCCCCCTGCGATGTCTGGCACTCAAGTGAGGTCAAGGTCCTCCGGAAGCGAGCCTCACGCCTCCAGCAAAATGTCCACATCTCCTCGCCAGTCATTTATCTGTTTTCTTCTTCATTGCCCATAATCTCAAACTGTTACACATATCCAAGCAACTATTTTACATATGCGTTATCACCTCAATATTCGCTAGACCTTCTAATCAGGTCAGGCTTGACGAATAACTCTAAAGGAGGGAGACTCGTTTCTCCTGTAGGCTGAGATCATAACACTCCCCTCCCCTTATTTTTGAGAGTTATTCTAGTGGCAAAGCTCGGGATAATACATCCGCCACCACACTGTCTCGTTCTTCACCCGATATACTCTCTTAGGAGTCTACAATTAGTTCGTTGCTCCTTGCAACATCTGGCTCACCTCTCTCCAGAAACATGATCTTCTCATAAACGATTTGACCTCTCTGACACCTCTTAGCTAGGCTGTCCTCCTTGGACGCCTGCACTCCATCGGTCCACTCTACTTACTGTCTCCACCCTCCGTTTCCTCGTCTTCTTCTCTTCACGTCCAGAGTCAGACATCTGCTGTCTGTACCTCCTCTGTCGTCTTCACACTTCCATCTACTGCCATTATACTTTCGTCTCCTGTCATCATACTTCACTCCATCGTCTTCACCGACGCTCCTCCTTTTCGTCTCCTTATTTATCTGAGACCTCATCCTGTTCGACTCCCACCGAGTCCTCGGCTTTCCTCTATTCCTCCATGCTTGTATCATCTTCCTCTTCCCACACTTTTCACCTTTATACAACTCCATTTCTTCTCCTTCAACTCTTCTTCGTTCCCTAAAAGTTTCTTCGGGCACTGTATTACATCCAACATCACTCGACCGTACACGTCGCCTTGCCTCTCCCAGAGTGCTCGTAAACATCTCTCCACACATACTGTCTCTTCTCCTTTCATTTTCTCGGCTATTACTCTTCTTCATTATCTCTACTCTACGTTTTCTGTGAAACATGTCAACTCCTGACATCTCAAACAACTTAACTCTACTACCCAAATGCCTCTGTGCTCGTGGACAACTTGACGCTCTACTCTCGTTCTCTGTATGTCCACATCCTTCCTCATTCCTACTCAGCACAGTTGCATTCGCCTTCCGACTCTTAATTTCAGCAGTCTGGGCTCTACTCAGGTCCGCTCTCTTCACATGATTCTTCTTCGGCTGGGCCATCTTCACTTTTGACCTCACGGAGACTTCATTTTCCTGGGCTGGACCTTCATCAAATAGCCGTGCTATATCTACATCGATCTCTTCCACTGGCTGAATCGACACTGTCTCACCTTCTCCAGTGTCTTCCTCGTCGGCCACCTCTGTCTTCATCACTACCGAGACAGGGTACTCAATGGCTTGGCGGTCTCCTGACTCATCTCCTCGGATGTCAGTCAGGTTCACACTCTCAGGTGTCCCACCCGTGCCGTGGCCTTCTGGGCTCTCCTCTGGCACAGTCTCCGCTATGACTCTTGGCAACACCTTTGTCCCACACAAGTCATTTCCCAGGATCACTTGGACTCCTGGAATAGGTATGTCGGGGCATACTCCCAACATCACCTCCGCCGACACATATTCCGACCTTAGCTGG